CCTTTGATATAATTTCATTTATTTATAAACAATAATCATTTTTATGATATAATTAACTTTCACTGAAAAAATAAACTTTTTTGGTTGATAATTTCCATAATATAAAACTAAAACAGCAGCAGAATAAAAATACTATGTATCCTGCTTTGAAACTGTAATGTAGGATAGCACATAATATAAAACTATTATAACTCTTACTTTCTAATATTACTGATTTTTTTTAAAGATTTTATTTATTTGAGAGAAAGAGAGCATGAGTGGGGGGAGGGGCAGAGGGAGAGGAAGAAGTAGACTCCCCACTGAGCAGGGAGCCCGATGCAGAGGTTGATCCCAGGACTCTGTGATCATGACCTGAGTCGAAGGCAGACACTTAACCAACTGAGCCACCCAGACGCCCCAATATCATTGATTTTTAAATAAATTTTTCTTTCACAAAAATAAATACACTTAGGAAACCAACTCACTTCCCTTTAAATTTAATTCCATCTGTGACTTCATTTCTTTTATCTTTGAAAACTTTATACCCTTCTTACTTATGCATGACCATTATGGTATCTTATTTAAGGGAATTGCATCTAAGAATGAAAATATTTTAAAGCGGCAGTCTAAGAGTGATTCTGGAAGAATTCACTTTATTTTGGTAAAAGCATGGCTTTTGAGTTAGGTAGATGCAGGCTTAAATTCTAGCTCTTCTGTACTTCTGTGACTTTGCACAAGTTAATCTGTTTAAGCTTCAATTTCAATATCCGTAAAGTTGAAGATGTTAATTCCCAAACTTGGTTGATAATAGAATTAGAAATAATAAAGTATGTATTACATGACACACAGTAGATGATGATGATGATGAATTTAAATGCAATAAACTATGATCTATGGCTTTCATATGCTAAAATGTTTCCTGAAGTTTCTTCAATATGGTAGCCATTAGTGACATACTGAAAGCTGATTGTTGTGATACCATTATCACTGAAATAGAATATTTTAAGTCTGTTGTTCTATTAGAAAGAAAAGTTTTATTGACATAAAATGGCCAGAAAATCAATATTTATCAAGTGTGTCTTTATTACATAAAATAGGAACTTTTAAAAAGTTTTTATAATTTTAAAATAGAAAGCACATGACTTTTCTTTTAATTTTACCATGTCCTACTCTTGATCCTTGATGATTGATTTATTAAAGTAAATGTTTTAATTCAGTAAGGCAAACTTTCTAATGCCATTTTTATTTTAGAAAGTTGTGTTTATATCTTTTCTTTTAGAAGGCTTTAATTATAATTATTATTTACCAAAAGAAAGTAGTGTTTTAATATCTAATGAAATATTAACTGTGAACCAAAGAAAAAGGTTCTGACACTTAAATAAATCTTTGTTGTTTGTGGATTATAGAAATGAAACAGTTTTCTGATAGCATCATTAAATTCCATGGTACTTGGAATTGTCATGTTATTCTTGCAGCACTTTTGTTGGTATAGGTCCCAGTAGTGTTGACATTAACATGGGTGGTTTCTGTTTTGACATTTATGGTGTGAGGATGCAAGTATGGAAGAATGATTTTGGAATTAATGCCAAGCCATTCAAATTTGTTGTTCTTTTATAGGAAATACATGCCTATCAGGATATGTTGGCTATGATAAAATTCCTCAACATTTGAATGTAGCAATATGGTTATTAAATTTGGGTCATTAATCCAAGATACATGCTTATGTTTTATCATGGAAATAAATGTACTAAATTCAAAGTAATCATAATTGTTATTAGCTTTTACATTGGAATTCAATGACAGTGGATAAGGACTTTTATACAAGTGAAATTATATTGATTTTGTGCAATAAATGAGAAATTCAAAAATCTTTGGAGATCAAATTGAGGATTTAATAACTCATTACATCTAATTTTATTTTGTTCTACTTAGTGTAAACCTGGCAGAAATACGCAAATGGAAAACCTAGCATGTAAAAGTGTAATTAAATCAATTAGGAAACTCAACTCTGTAAAACTACTGAGCAGATATAAAATACATTGACAAAGGAGAATCATAAATACTGTCTTAGGGACTGATGAAGTTAGGTCTTGAGATAAATTCAAAATGAAAAGAAGAAAACAAGTCTCATGTAGGAGAGGAAAAATAATTTCCCCTGTACCCTTCTAGCTTCTTAGCTGAGACCTAACCCCCCCTCTACCCCTCCCTCCTAAAGGGCCCCCTAAGGAGGCCCCTTTTCTAATGTAAATTTCCTTTATAAATGTATGTTTTCCTTACAAAAGGTTGACTTCTACTCTGTTTTTAGAGCGCCTGTTCTGCAGTTTCTCAAAATAATTGGTGTGCCAAAGAGGTATATTTTGGAGTGGAATATTCTGCTACCCTTCACTTGATAACAGTGTCTGTAAAATGCTGTGAAAGAACAAAATTCACCTTAGTAAATTTTAAATCTCTTATCAGTTTTATTCAGCGATTCATGAATTGGGCAGCATCCAATCTAGCAGATAGAAAGAAGCTCGGAAGAGCTGTACAAGGCAAGAGATTTTATAGGCAGAAAGAAGCAAGAACAAGGAAGTTGTACCTAGGCAATAGGGGGAGCAGAATATGCTATCCCAAAATGTGCCACTTTGGCATGGGGATTGTTTTGAACTGAAGGCAATTGAGACCCAGCAGACTCTGGAAAAGATTTTTATGTCTCCCTTAACTGCCTACAAGAATTTACACAGGGGCCTGCACCAGGAAGAGAGCTATTACCAGAGAGAACTTTTCATATCAGTAAGACTTAACTACCTGGCGTGGCAAATGATTGTTTACCAAACATTTGCTCTTCTCATATTCCTGTGAATTGTCTTCCTCCCCTTTGAGGATCTAGACCCCTACCCCCTTCTCCTTAGCCTCAACTGCCTGACTGCCTCTCAGTCTTCATGTCTTTGTGAGGCTCCCATAGGTATATAATTAAATCTGAGTTTTTTTCCCCCTCTTAATCTGTCTTATGTCAATTTGATTATTGGACTAGCAAAAAACCTAGAAGGTAAGGAGGGAAAAGTTTTCTACTCCTACAGCACAAAAGCAGATTGGTTATTGCAAAGTTACTTTCTCTAGGAGGGATGGTAGGGTTCTGTCAGGCAGATTACCTAAACTAATGCTACTCAAGCGATTCCTGATTAACTGGTTTAAGATTCCATTTCTGGGAGAGCCAAAATCATAATGAAGTTAAATCTCACTTTGGTGACATGGAGCTAAGCATAAGTGACTCCATTTGGGGCCTGTTGTCTTTAATAATGCAAAAAAATTCATTCTTCATCCTCAACATTTTACTGAGGGCCTGTTCTCTGCTGGGCTCTATGGCATACTCAAATGAATACCATGTGGTCTCCTTCTTCAGGAAGCTTTCAGTTTAATGCTTCCCTGATAATTTTTCTTAGGCTTTTAGTAGCATTTAATAGAAGTGATTATTTCCTTCTGAAATCCCATATTTGCTTTGGATGCAAGGAAGTATTCTAGTTTCTATATATGTCTCTGAGCTGTCTGTCTTTGTTTTACCTCTAGGATTTCAACTTAATGGATCATCATCTCATTTGAGTTCTTATGTATGCTTTAAGTCAGCTACTCCTGTAAGGGAGTAGTGTTCCATTAAAATTAGATGTTATTTAAATCTATAATAATTCCAGTCTAGTGAAGATTCATAGGAGTAATGTAGATGCAGTTGGGAAATGCATGAAAATCAAAGAGAAGGGATAATGTTTGACTAAAACGAAAGAGCTTTATGTATGCAGCATGATTTCTTCCACCAGCTTCCACTGGCCCATGGCCAGGTCAAACTTAACAATTCTAGAACTCTGCTCTCTGCTTCTACCCCTGCAAGGGTTCTCTTCACTTCTTTTTTCTCATTCATTATGCTACCTTCAAGGTTTGAGCTTTCATCTTGAGACTCCTTTCAGCCTTTTCTTTTTCTCACTTTTCAGTAGTGATAGGACTGCAAAATGTCTACAGAGTAGAGTACTAGATATGATATTCTCTGATAAATGCTTATGGTGGGTGGCATTCTATGCTTGCTAAATGAGTTCGACCTAAATGTTTAAATCTCCCCTAGGAAACAGTCCTGCCAAACCTTGTGTTAAACTGTGTGAAAGTAGTTCTGGTGGTGATAGACGTGCATATGAAGAGTTTGAATGAAAATATTTCAAGGGGTGCCTGGGTGGCTCAGTCAGTTGAGCAACTGATTCTTGATTTCGACTCAGGTCATGATCTCAGGGTCGTGAGATTGAGTCCCGCATCAGGTTCTACACTCAGCATGGAGCCTGCTTAAGACTCTCTCTCTCCTTCGTCCTCTCTTTCCTCTCACCCCCCACTCGCTCTCTCTCTCTCTCAAATAAATAAATCTTTAATAAACATTTCAAGGAATATGACAACAAAAAATATCATCTTGAATGTGATAAATCATATACATATGAATATATATGCTTTTAAATGTATAAAATAACATAAATACATACGTCCCGCATCAGATATACTACTATAAGTTTGTATAATCACAGAGGCCAGAATTTTTGGATATTCTCTGGAAAAATAGGTGATGGATTATGTTATATGGGGGGTTTTCTATATTCAGGTATGTGTTGTGATAGGCATTCACTGAGCATTGGGTAACTAATGATCTGTTTGATGCTTTATTGTATTCAAAGTTTTTCCAGATATTTTTCAATTTTATGTTATACAACAATAAAATGGTTAGCCAAGTCATATAACTCTCTATATTCCGTTATCATATAAGGATAGATGTGGCTGATTGTAGGCACTTAGTAAGTTCTTTCTCATTATTAATTCTCTAAAGGAAACATCATATGCACATTTCATTGTTAAGGGAAATGTTAAAGCTAATTATATAAATTTTAAATTTAAACAATAAAATTCAATACACATATAAACTATGACATTGAAATAATTTAATTGAAGTTCAAATGCAGGTGATATACAAACTGTATTATACTATAATAATCTGGATTTTTCTTTTTTGATTTTAGCGCTCAAGGAGCATGTATTTCTCATGTGCTGCCAGAATTTCTGCTTGAACCAGAAGATTATAAAAAGTGGATTGAAATTACAGTAAGGGAATATAATTTCTAGGGAACAATCTGCATAGTTATTGAATTGACTGGTCTTTAGTCACTGTTAGAAGATTTCATTATAAAATCTTGATATTTTTATTTATGAAATGTCCTATGGATTATGCCTCTCTGGACAGCTTATTTATATGTGTGTGTATAAATATTTCAATGTGTATATATACATATATGTAGATATTTATATATATACACACAGAGACATACACACACATTTTTATATCTGTCTAAAAATCTTTGTGGAGTTCCTATTGTTGGGGAGCAAGAATATCTTGTCCCCTTCAAGGTCCTTCTAGCTAGACTAAGAATCCAATTGACATGAGACAGATTAACAGGAGAAAATCAAATTTAATAGCATATGTAAGGGGACTCCACACAGACCTGGAAATTCCAAAGACAGTCAGGTGAAATGAGGTATTTATGTCGTTCTGAACTAAGGAGAAGGGGTGGGAGTCTGGGACTTCAAAGGGAAGGAATACACCTCACAGTGTACTAAGAGCAGATGTTTGGTAATTAGATGTTTGTCCTGCTATACAGATGGGTCACTCAGATAAAATTTATCTCTCCTAATAAAGCTTATTCTGGGAAAGACCCCCCCCCCCCCCCCGCCAACCAATTTAGATTCTTCTGTGAGTTAAGGGATGGGCAGAAGTTTCTCTTTTGCCCAGCAGGTCTTAGTCGCCTTCAGCTGAAAATAGTCCACATGCCAAAGTGGCATCTTTTGGGGGGAACTGTCCCAAACCCCTTCAAACTCAATCTTTGTGCCAAAGTGACCCATCTTGGGGCAGCCTGCCCTTGGCCTCTATGCTATGTAGAAATTATTACATGGCTTTCTTAAATATATAAGTAATTGCTTCTTTTAGGGGATCTAGAAATGAAGAATTCTGTGTGCTTTTGTAAATGTTTTCTTAAAGTAAATTTTTAGAATATGTATCTGCCAAGGAAAACATTGGTTTAATTTTCCCACCACTTGCCACTTCCCTTCTTTAGTTAAAGGGGAGAGTAGGCAGAAATTAAACAAGATATGTCTAGTTTTTTTCAAAGTATACAGTTTATTTTATGGAAACCCATTGAGAAGGGGAATTGCTTGGAGAAGCCTTCAGGCTTTGAGGCAACTACTATCGTGATGGCTCTGTTACTATACTCCCCATATGACGTGAACAGGAGAACCAGGGGCTTGTCCTTTTTTTTTTTTTTTTTTAAGATTTATTTATTTGTGTGAGAGAGAGAGGGAACACGCGCGTGCAAGAATGGGGAGAGGGGCAGAGGGAGAGGGAGAGAGAGAATCTCAAGCAGACTCTCCGCTGAGTGTGGAGCCTGACATGGGCCTCGACCCCATAACTGCGAGATCATGACCTGAGCCAAAATCAAGAGTCCTCAAAATAGGAACTCCTCAACCAACTGAGCCACCCAGGCGCCCCCCAGGGGCCTGTCCTTTGATACTCTGCTGAGTTCCAGTGGCTCATCCAAAGGATGTGTTTCTTTCTGGGACTCAGAGTTCCGAATAACTTTGCATCTCATTCTGCCACTTCTGCCACAGAATAAGCTAGTAGGTACATTGAATGAATAAATCTGTGACCTCAGTAAGGGGCCATGTGTTCCAGAAAGTTACCTCTGTTGATAGTTTCTATTACTGGCACATGGGGAATTAGTGATCTTGATGAACGTATAGATAGGGCATGCAAAAGTTTGTAAAAAGAAAAAGAAAAAAACCTTATATGCTAAGTAGTTAAAACTTTGAACTTATATTTGCCTTGCATTTGAACTAATGTTGTAATATTTTATTTCTTAAATTCTTTCACTAATACCTTGCCTGCATGTTCCCGTATACCTAAGGAAAAGCACTCTGTTGTTATAGATAGGACTCAGTTTGAAGGTTGGAGTAAGCGGGCGTGGACGGATGTATTGCTTCAGATATACAAGGTAACATTTCCACTCTCGCTCATTGCTGCTTGTTTCAGTTTCTTTACCTGAATGGTGTCTAAGTTAAGGTATAGCTGATGCTGCTGATTAAAGAATTAAAAAATACAGTGGCACAAATAAGATAGAGGTCTTTTTTTTTTCTTTCTCAGGGAACTGTTGAGAAATAAGTGGTTTAGAGACAGTGGGGGTCTTCCACCCTCAGTCCTGGGCTTTCATCTCTGGGACGGTTTCTCAGAACAAGGAAGAACACATCAGGGACTAGTGGAGGAAAAGTAAAAACCGTTTAAGGATGTCACCTAAAAAATGCATCATTTCCTTTGGGCAGAGTTTAGTCATATGATTGTACCTCACGGCAGGGGATATTGATAAATGTAGTCCCTAAAATAGGTACCTACAGTCGTATTCTGGTACTAAAAGGAAGGATTAAAGAATGGATGATAGTGAAAATTGTGCCTTCTACCTGTACTACATACTACACTCTTGCTATGAATGTTATTCTGGAGAGATATTCACTAGGAATCATATACCAGTAGACGAGACCAAGTTTTGATGAAACTCCAGTTTATTCCATGCCAAATTGCATGTGTAGGTAGATTAACACAGCATAAATTATGCCTTCACATCCTGCCCCTTTATTGCATAAAAAAGTGCTGGTTTCAGTCCTGAGACTTATTCCCTAGGGTTCCAAATGTGGCACTACACATCTTCCCCACTAAGACCTGTGGAGGCTTTTGCTCTGTTTTCACAGGTTGAAAGCACAGGTAGGGTGAGCTGTGGGACAAGAGAGTGAAAATGAAGGAGAAGTTAAAGAAAAGTAGCAATTAGTCACTGAAAGGAAAGGACAAAATTAGTAACTAAACTGTGTAGTTTTATGTCAGACTCTTCACCACGAGAGGCTTTTTAAATGTAGCTTGTTTAATCTTCACAAGCAGTAATCTCCTGCTTAGACATGAGGAAATAAAGGTCCACAGGCGTGCATTGTGTCTCCCCAGATCATCTGATTTTAGCCATACAAAACCATCTGATGTAGATAAAGCTTATCTCTTCCTTGTTCTCTGCTGGGGCCCAGAAGCCCAAGGCCCCCTTCCTGCTCTCTGGTAGCCTAAAGCCTCCACTGCAGCCAGCTACCAATCCTACCCTCTAGAGAGTTCTTTCTACTGAATGATTCCTACTTACTCCTTCTTTCCTCTTCTTCCATCAGCCTGCCCTGCCTTTTTTTTTTTTTGCCAGATGTCAAGGGAGAGAAATCCTGTTCTTTCTTGAGTAATTCCCTCAAGAATGTATGAGGGTATTCGTGACTCTCAGCCAAACTTAGATTTGGGAAAAGACATTTTCTTCTTTTCTTTCTTAACTCCAGGCTGTATCATCTATAATTTTGGCCACTGATAGGGAGGAGCAACTCTAAAACAGAAGGGCAGCAAATGCCCTACTTAATGGACAAACTAGACCTAATTTTGGTTTGTGGGCTTTAGTCACTCACTCATTCATTTATTCATTCATGCATGCATTGATGAATATGTTTACGTCATCTAATCTCTCTTTCCCAACTTATGAGTCTATGAATTTAAAAACCAAGTATTACTTGTAAACTCAGAATTTTTTTTTAAAAGATTTTGTTTATTTATTTATTTGACAGAGAGAGAAACAGCGAGAGGGGGAACACAAGCAGGGGGAGTGGGAGAGGGAGAAGCAGGCCTCCCGCAGAGCAGGGAACCCGATGTGGGGCTCGATCCCAGGACCCTGGGATCATGACCTGAGCTGAAGGCAGATGCTTAACAACTGAGCCACCCAGGTGCCCCGTAAACTCAGAATTTGTTAGTGTGTCAGCTACATAGTATATGCTCAACAAATACTTGTTGAATAAATTTACTTAACAACTATTTTGGTGTAGGCACTGTACTAGGCTCTGGGGGTTTAAGAGTAAACTTGATAGAGTCTTTCTCTTCCATGATTTTGTGTCCTGAAGTATATAAGTAACTATTTATATATAATTACAAGGAACTATGACAAATGCTATGTTAAGGTAAGCCCAAAGAACTAAGGGTGAGTGCACACAGAGAGGATCCTACCTTACCTGTGCCTTGGGGAAGGTTTCCAGGAAGAAAATCAATTTAACCTGACCCTGAGAAATAACTAGGAATTTTCCAGGCAAGGTGAAGCAGTAAGTGGAGCATAGGCTAAAGAGAGAGAGAGAGAGGGAGAGTACAATTTGTGAGAAGGAGGTGGTAGATTAGTTTTATTGGGGAGCAAGACAATAACATTTGTCAAGACAAAAGGGATTCAATGTGGAAATGCCTGAGGTTAGAAACAACACGTTATGTTCCGAGGAAGAAGCACACTATGGCTGGGGGTAGGAGGGGTGGATTGTGATCCCAGTCACAAAATAGAACATGGTTTACTTCATAAGCCATACCAAGGAATCTGGACTTTATGGACTTTAGCCCAGGGTCAGTACAGAGTTCCTGAAGGATTTTAAACATAAAACTGTCATAACTAGCTTTGCATCCTAGAGAAATCACGCTGGTACAACGTGGAAACTGTTTGGAGAGGTATTTAAGTGCCTGGTGCCGGGAATACTGGTGGTAGTGGGAAAGATTAGAAAGGGGCAGCTTTCCTAAATATTAGGAATAGAACTCAGAAGGACTTGGTGAATGACTAGATCTCAGTGGGTGAAGGAGACAAAGAGCTAAAAGATGACAGTGGGTCTTGCTGGGATGACTGAATGGAATTTGATCCCAGTCACTGAAATAACAAGACAAGGGATGAAAATAAGATTTTGTTGGGGGTGCAGGATGAGATAGGGTAAGAAGGCATAATAAATTGATTTTGGTTATGCTGTATAATGGTGCCCTGTGTCATTACCAGGTGGGTATATCCCTCAGTCAGGAAAGAGATCTGGGTGACAGCACATGTTTGTGATTCTTCACTGGTTCCATGATAAGTCATAGGAATAGGTAAGATTGCCTGTTAGGTCATCTGCAGAGCTATGTTTGTCCATGTATTGTGTCTAAAGCATGGGTAGCTCCAGGAGTTCTATTAAATCGGAAGCGGATTGGCAATTTCTCTTGTGAAAGCAAGCAATGTTGAGGTGAGTTTCACACAATGGAAATAGAAGATGGTGATTTTCACACACATCCCTTTAGGTTTTCATTTTCTTTTTCCTAGAGGTCATGCATGCATTCCAGGACCACCTTTGTCAGTTCCTCTTGGCTAATAGTTTGGATAAAGGATATAGCTTGTCTTGCCCAGTTTGATTTTGTGTCATTTGGTCATTTTTGTTTGTTAAATTTGCATGTTTAATTGTTGGTATTTCCTTGCATTATATTCCCAATTCACAAAAATGTATTGATGGCTAAAAAATGGGTCATTGAAGCACAAGAGAGATGAAAAACAATAACAAACACTCAATTTCAGAATGCTGTTTTAAATGTAAGTATAAATAGGGCTTTCATGTGGATATAAAGGATGAGTCTGTATGTGCTGAAAGAGGTGAATGTGATATTTTTACTGAAGAATCTAGTCAAGAAAAAGGTGATCAATAATAAATATCTGAATAATAAGCTCAGGTAAACTGTTTATTCATTAGTTCTCAGCGTACTGTCTGTCATAAGTTTTTTTTAATAGTGGCACAATTGTGTCAAATATTTTGATATTTTTAAATGAAGAGCAATGATCTTTCTGGTTAATTAAACACATTTTCCCCAAACCAATTCAAAATCTCTTTGTTATGAAATTGGAATATTTGCTGCTAAAGGTAGGCAAGACACCAATTCTACTGATGCATTATTTAGAATTTCCTGCCTCTGTAGAAGATGAGCAAAGACAGGACAGAGGATCATATTTGTGAGGAATATTTACTTATTTTTATTAATTTTGAAAGATAGATTTATTATTCATTCATTCATTCAATCATTTATTTATTTTAGGGAGAGAGAGAGAGTGGGGAGGGGGTAGGGGCAGAGGGAGAGGGAGAAACTCAAGCAGACTCCACGATGAGTGTGGGGCCTGACATGGGCCTTGATCTCACGATCCTGAGATCACAACCTGAGCCAAAACCAAGAGTCGGATGCTTAACTGACTGAGCCACCAAAGTGCCCTGGTGAGGAATATTTAAAATGAGCTTCAATAAAACATGATTGGAAAGAAAGTAAAATTCATGAAATTCTTTTATTACATGGCTTTGCAGGATGTCCCATTATGTCAGTGGCATGCAACTTGGAAACAGTTATTCTCACATGTGATAGCAAATATTGCATGCTTTGGTTGGATATAAGGGAATGTATGAACACATTTGCATGTGTGTGATAAATATATGTGAAAGAAAGAAAGAAATGATGATGTTTTATTCTTTTTATCAGTGAAAAACCATGCTCTTGGAGGAATGCTTCTTTGTCATTAAGATTAATTTGTAATGTAACCTGGAGAAAATCAGTTGGTGGTAGACAACCAATCAGTTGGTGGTGGTTGGTATTGATAGACAATTAGCCATTGGTCACAAGAAAAGGGGTGTTGCAAATGAACCTTTATTCATAGAGAAATGCAGGTGATTAAAAATATGCTTCTGTTGTGAATTCATTGTTAAACAGAAAAAATTGGAAATACTATCAAAGTAAGGCTACTGAGTTACCTAATTGCATCGTGATCTCTATAAATTCAAGATCTTTATTTCCAATTTTGAGATGTGCTGGTTATGAAGAGAAGGTCACTCTCACATGCATTTTTCCAACAGGAGTGAGATTAAAAATAGTATCTTCCTAGCACTGTTTTTCTGTATTTATCATTTTCATCTTTTGAAGTGGCTAGCTCAAATGATCCATCAGGTAATGCTTCCCATGTCTTGGACATATACCTATAGAATTTGAATATCATGATTTTTAATGTGCTACAAAACACTGAAGCATCAAAATTTTGGCTTTTTCCCAAGATTTGTTGAAAAAAGAATGTATTGACGATGAGTGCTGTGAATTGTGTAAGACTGATGGATCACAGACCTGTACCCCTGAAACAAATAATATATTATATGTTAATAAAAAAATAATAAAAGAAAAAATAATGATAAAATGTATTGAATTATTGAATGGACAGATAAACTGAATATGGTAATGTAGTTTCTGCACAGCTGAGTTGATGATTGGGAGCTGAAATGCAGCCTACATGCTGCTTCCTAAGACTATGGACACTATTGGAAGCTGTGTCTCAACAAATTAAGGGGGGGGGCTTTTACTTTAAATAAGGGTACGATCAGGATAATGGTTTCTCAGAGAGTGTGCCACCTTTTAATTGCTTCTGGCAATGGAAGCCAAATAAACTTTTCCCAAAGATGAATGCCACTGAAGAGTAGAGTACTGTTATCTTTAATGCTATTTCCTGAGTTGAGTATTTTTACCTTTGGCTTTTGAGTGTGATTTGCTCATCAACCAGCTTAGCATTTGGTTGGTATTTGAAAGTAGATGAAGTATATTTTAATAAAAAAAACCTCTATAATTTCTGGCTTCGTTTTGGGCCTGACTATCCATAACAATCAAACTGAGCATCTCTTCTGTTAATCTGTAATTATGAAGTAGGCTTTTCTCATTTAGTGGAAATAGAGAGAAATAAGAAAAGAAATTACTGAATATATAAAGTGATATAGAACTCAATACATGCATCATCTGGTTAAATGTAGATACCTTGATAAAGATGGTAACTATATCATTCATCTCACTGATATGAAGCTATAATTATTCTCATTACTACTACTAACATAATGTTCTAAATATTGTGTTGAATCCTTATTTTTTAACCACAGCAATCAGTGGTCTTTGTGGTTTCTTAATGCATATTTAGTGGTCTCTGGGAGATAAAATTGGGAGAAACACACCTAAAAAGTTTAAAGAAAAGATGGCATAGGTTAGAAACCCAATACTGAAGCAACCCAGTATTTAAATAGGTAAGGGGAAAGGGCGCCTGGGTGGCTCAGTTGTTAAATAGGTAAGGGAAGAGAATCCTGCAATGAGCTCAAAATAGACAAAAAGAGAGCAGTAACACTTTATGGTGTCATGAACAAGGAGGGAAGAAAGCCTTTGAGGGAGGATGTGTTATCAAATGAAATGGAGAGGTTGCTTAAGATAACAATGAAAAATTCCCTGTTGTATTGGACAACAAAGATGCCAAAGGCACCTTCAGGGTGTGGGGGTAGTGAGGAATTGGGGAAACGTTATTAGGTGGGCTTTAGTTTGATGAACAAAAGGAATAAAAGTGGAGACAGTAGGGTAGAGAACTCTTTCATGAGTTATAACTGGTAGAGGGAACAGATAAAAGAATCAGGGGGAATCCAAGTTTGGGAGAGCTCTCTAAAAGCTGAATGTAAGTGAGCATGTTTTGATATTGTTGAAAAGGAACTGGTGAGAAGGGAGAAGTTAAAGATCCAAAAGCTAAAAAAAGGCAACTGATGCATGACTGTCCCAAAGAGGATGAATAGGTTTGGTATCTAGTGCAAGCAAAGGGATAGCTCACCCACTGTGGCCATAGAGAAGGAAGAAAAGTGAGTGTAGATGCAAGAACTTTTGGACATGTGGTAGGACACTGCAGTGCTCTCATTTAGGATGCCATCCCTTTGCTCTTTCAAGTAATGATGATGTATCTTCTGAGAAAAACTAATGTATAGGCTGAGAAGGAAAGAGATCTGATAAGAGATGATTAAGGAGCCAGGAGCCCCTATGGGTAATAGGAGTGAGAAGACAAGGGAAAGAGATCTCTGGGCTTGCAGGGCATTATCTTTAAATCAGGAACAGGTGCATCTCAGGTTTCCTGGAACCCCTGTAGTGATCCCCTTGGATGATGTGTGCTGTGCCTTAGAGCTGAGGTCAGACTGCTGCTGTGCCCTCCACCACCAGGAAACTCCCCTGTAGGTTCAGTCTCCTCTTGGAGTTTTCTCTCTACCTCCTGTCCTAACTGAAGCTTGTGTCTTCACCACCAGATCACTTCCAGGTGGTCCTCTTTGGTAGGGGCTGTTGATGAACAAGCTTGAATACTTCTTTTTAAATTTTCTTTCTCTATTCTGCTTTTTAAAAATTATTAGTTTTTGTAATTCTTACTCCTGGACTTAAATTATATTCTCTTTACAACAAATTTGTGATCTTGATAATATTTAGTCTTAAATGACTGCAAGGAATTTTGTTAGGGTGATAAACATTTATGGTATGTTTGAGCAGTGTTTGTGATATTCTTCCACTTAATCTGATCAAAAGGAAGGTAAGCTTCTAAAAATTAAATCTGATGTGACTTTTTCTAATTCTTACTTAAATTAATTGTGCCTTTTTGGGATACATTTGAGTTAAGATTTACTAGAATGATTTATGCACAGTTTAGAAAATTCTGTGAAATTGTACCAGATTAGTAAAATTAAAATTTCACCTCATGTCATGATCTACATGTTATTCAGTTTTTTTGATGGGGAAGTACATGGCATTTTTTGATTGCTATTCTATTTATTCATTATGAGACCAATCATTACTGTTAAAATATTATTTTCTTTAAACATAAACAGACATTTGGAGGATTTTTTAGCTTTTAATAGTTTGTGTCTTTATTCTCTTGTCATATGACTATTGTCTATTGCTTTTCATTACTCTCCTATTTTTTCCTATTACTTGTCATTTGTTGTAACATAAAAAACTAGATATCCAACTTAGAAAAATTTTCTATGAAATAAAACCAAATAGACACTGACTTAGAGTGCACAGACAGGTTTTTATAAATTAAGTGGGAGAAAGTTAGCTTACAGACTTTGAGACTTCACAGATTGTAGTTCAGAATATTTACTTATGCATTATGTGCTTGCTGGCCCACCTCCATGAGGATTTCAAACATAGCTGAGATTTGGATAGGTGAGTTGTTACTACATGTCCTCTGACTTTCATCTTTATTGTAGGGGGTCTTCTAATTTCTTTTACTCTTATATGGATGTAGTTGACCAGAAAATACTGATGCCTTCCTTTATTTACTCTTCAAATATTAATTTTTAATTTTGCCATTCAGGTCTAATAAAGGTTCTCTCTTTTTCCCAATTTCAGGTTCTGGTACTATCCCGGGTTGTACCACATTGCAGCAGTAACCTGCCCCCCATACATGTGCAGAATTCACCAAAAATCAATCCTTGTTTTTTATCCAGCAACATATATTCTAATTCTGAAAGGATTCTGCTTAGTTGGATGAACACAAATTATGAGAATGCCCGACATATTATATGGAAAAACTGTCACCAAGGTGAGAATTTTTTTTCTTTAAAGAAATTATTACTAATTTTAGTGTGACAATGTAGAATTGGACTCAGAATCCATGGATTCTAGACCTGACTCTTTTCTGCAAAAAGGAGCTCTTAACATCTCCCCAAGATCAGTTTCCTTAACATGTAAAATGGAAATAATAAAAGATGCTTCTTTAATGTATTTTGAAGAGTAAGTGATAAAAATTATGTAGAGATGCTCTACAAAAGATAGTCTTAATATCATTGCTGGTATTTTCAGCTCTATAAAGAATTAAATTTTAGGTGACATGCTCAAACCTTGTGTGTACTTAGTTGATATCAAGTGGAATTTGACTAGAAAACATCTTACGTGTCATTGTGACAGTTATGTTGGAAATCACTAAATGCAGTAATGCTTCATGAATTTTGGGCGAGGTCAGTCATATTAGGTCCAAATACTGAGACAAGCGGGTGTTCATAGAGAGACCTCCAATGTTCAGGTGGCCACTCCCTGGTTCTGTGCTTGTGGAATGAGGCTCTATGAATTTCCACCTTAAGAGCCTTCGGTTTTTTGTTTTTGTTTTTTTTTTTAAGTTCCAGTTTGCTAGTATAGTGTATTTTTTTCCTCCATCATAACCACTGATTGTAGTGAGATGGGTGACAGTGTGTGTGCTGGTTGTTTCTTTGGCTTCAATTCAGCCCGCCTCTTCCAAGTATACACAAACCTCTTATGTTCAGAAGGGGTTGTGCTTAAGTCATTACATTTATTTTCTATACTGAACCCTCAGAGTTTAATCTAAACTTTAGAAGTAAGAAGAAGATTGAAGAGTGTGATTTAAAATGAGACTTTCAGGGCACCAGGGTGGCTCAGTCAGTTAAGCATCTGCCTTCGGCTCAGGTCGTGATCCCGGGGTCCTGGGATCGAGCCCCACATCGGGCTCCCTGCTCAGCGGGGAGTCTGCTTCTACCTCTGCCTGCCACTCCCCACTGCTCAGGCTCCCTCCCTCTCTATCTCTCTCTCAAATAAGTAAAATCTTTAATAAATAAATAAAATGAGACTTTGAATTATGGTTGCTCTTAACTTGAAGGCATTACTTCAACAAACATAGTGACATCAAGATTAAAACAGATATATTGATATACTGGTATTAGACAACAGTAAACGTGGAATATTTTAGTACCTTCTAATTGATGTGCTGATAATATCAAAATAATTTGACTTGAATCTGCAATTGAGTAAGATTCATATTTTTTAAAAATTGTATTTGCTCCTTTCAAAAATATAAAAAACAAAGTACAAATTATTTTATTTTATTTTTTTAAAAGATTTTATTTATTTATTTGAGAGAGAGAGAATGAGAGACAGAGAGCACGAGAGGGAAGAGGGCAGAGGGAGAAGCAGACCCCCTGCCGAGCAGGAAGCCCGATGCGGGACTCCATCCCGGGACTCCAGGATCATGACCTGAGCCGAAGGCAGTCGCCCAACCAACTGAGCCACCCAGGCGCCCCAAAGTACAAATTATTAGATTGCTGAGGAGTAACACTTTAACCAAAGTAGTATAAAATATGTACATATGTTAAAAATTAGTATATTCATTTGTTGTAAAGTTATTATGGTTCTATTTTTACCAACAAAAGGGTCTATACAAGTTCATTTCAAAGAGTTTGCTGCATTTTTTAATATAATAGATTACAGGCACTGGCCTTTTTCCTTTTTTAAAAAAACAGAGTTTTATGCTTTTACAAAGCTTTTGCATTTTTCTCTGCTACCTTCTGCTTGGACTATTATTTTCCTATTTATCTTCATGATTCCATTTCTCACTTCATTCAAGTCCCTGCTCAAATATCACTTTACATGAGAAGCTTTCCCAATACCCTCTAAAATAGTGTATCCTTCCATCTTTCTCTTTCTTGCTCTGTTCTTTTCAATAGCATTTTTCCAAAATTATATATATAAAATGGAGAGTCTGTTTCTTCCAGTAGAATGTGAGCTTCTTAACAGGAACAGTCTTGTCTGTTTTGTTGTTCAGAGCCGAGAAACGTGCCTAGAAGATAACAGATATCAAATACTGTTTGTGTATATAAATGAGTGAAAATTGAGGGGCGCCTGGGTGGCTCAGTTGGTTAAGCGACTGCCTTCGGCTCGGGTCATGATCCTGGAGTCCCAGGATCGAGTCCCGCATCAGGCTCCCTGCTCGGCAGGGAGTCTGCTTCTCCCTCTGACCCTCCCCCCTCTCATGTGCTCTCTCTCTCTCTCAAATAAATAAATAAATAAAATCTTTAAAAAAAACCTGAGTGAATATTGAGACACATTCAGGTTTTATACATTTTTCTACCCTATTCCAGATAATTGGATATATATTAGCTTGCCAGTTTGTACCTTCTGGTACAAATTGTAGGAGTCGGGTTGAATGGCTGAGGTAGAAGGAAGCACTTTCCACGTTGAATATGTACCTGAGTACAAGTTTGTGGGTTTAGTAACTATGGAGATCCATGAGGAGAAGCTCTATGAAAGATTTCACTTTGATTAACTTGGACTAAGAAAAAGTATTACTCAGTTCCCCAGATTTTTATCTGTCAACATTGATACTTATTCTACTTAGACTCACTCCATTGGTAAAATATGACTGTCCTCACAACTTGGTGCAATGGTGTTGTGGAAGGTAGATTGAGAAGCTCTTTAGGGTGAGACCTGGCAATCTGTGTTTTATTAAGCCCTCCATGTGATTCTGATACACACTAAAGTATGAAACAATTAGGCTATATCACAGAAAGTGGCTTTTTAGTGCTTTTAAATTGTTCACAGAATGGTATTTGTTCACAATTGTATTTCTTTCTTTTTTTTTTTAAATTTTATTATGTTATGTTGATCGCCATACAGTACATCATTGGTTTTTGATGTGGTGATCCACGATCCATTGTTTTCGTATAACACCCAGTGCTCCATGCAGTACGTGCCCTCCTTAATACCCATCACCCGGCTAACCAATCCCCCCTCCCCCCTCCCCTCTAAAACCCTGTTTGTTTCTCAGAGTCCATAGTCTCTCATGGTTCATCTCTCCCTCCAATTCCCCCTCCCCATTTTTCCCTTCCTTCTCCTAATGTCCTGCATGTTATTCCTTATGTTCCACAAATAAGTGAAACCATATGATAATTGACTTTCTCTGCTTGACTTACTTCACTTAGCATAATCTTCTCCAGTCCCATCCATGTTGATATCAGTACACAATTGTATTTCTGAAAAACGCCTCCTTTAAATAACAATTCCTTTGGCATAGTAATAGATGAAAATTTCCCCAAATTAATGTCAGACATCAAACCACAGATCCAGGAAGATCAGGGAATACCAAGCAGGATAAACGCCAAAAAAACTTTATAGCTGGGAATACTATATTCAAATTGCAGAAAATCAAATATAAAGAAAGAATCTTGAAAGAAGCCAAAGGGGGAAAAACGCCTTACTTATAGAGGAGCTGAGGTAAGAATTACATCCAACTTCTCGGGAATCATGTAGTCAGGAAGAGAGTAGAGTATTTAAAGTGTTAAGAGGAAAAAAAAATACTAACCTAGAATTCTGTACCCAAGAAATTGTCTTCCAATAGTGAAGGAGAAAACATTGCAGAGAATAGACAGTGGACCTTGCTTATACATTTTTTGGGTAAACTGATCAGTTGGCAGCTTGCAGAGTCATCTTTATGGACAGTCTGTCCTTGATCAGCCTGGTGAGGCAACAAATAAGGAATTTTTTAGGTGTTTAAGGCTTTCCCAGAAACTCTTGTTGAATTGAGCAGTGGTGTCAACATGATAGGTGGTTTCCATATTATGTCTCTGCTGAGGTCTTTATCAGCACCTTTACCTCAGTCAGATTAGGTCTGACATATATTTCTCATAGAATTTCTTTGTAATGATATAGGAACTAGGAAGGATGTGACAAGTGAGGGAGCCGTCCTCTGTCAAGGAGAGTATGGAGTGGTAAAGTTGGAATAAGTTGGTTCAGAGGCCTGGCCATCCAGGGCTTTGAATATCAGGACAACGTTCTAGGATTTCATTCTGTTGGCATTGGAGAGTCATGGGAAATGGCCAAGGTGGTGACTGCTATGATGGATATTTGGTCCGGTGGCCACAGCAAGTAGGTTGATTGAAGTACACTGAGGTCACATGTTTTGATCAGCACACCTCATATTTAGCGCTGAGAGAAGACTGAGATTTCTTAACCCTGGACTTTCTATGAATTTGCTCAAGAGTATGTGGTGTCCAGTAGTCCAAGTTTGGGAGTTTCCTTTCCTAACTACAGATAGTTGCTGAGAGGCACGGTTAAAAAGCAAAGAAACAAAAACAAAACAAAACAAAGAATAAAAAAAGTTACCCATTCTATGTTTGAAAATTCATAACATGTGTTGATTTGTTCAAAGAGTTGTGAAAGTCAAAAAACATTTTCCATGTAATAAGTGAACACCTGTTTCATGTAAGTAGGGGACGTTTTTAGGCCTTGCCAAGGAGGTACAATTGCCCTTATACACTTATCCTCTTGTTCCTGCTAGCTCTTTGTATTGTATGTGCTTAAGCCCTTTATCATTAATACAACGGTTAATGTTTTTCAGTGATGAACCTTTTTTTACACCTTAGTGACAGTTACTTCTTCTGTAGATCATGCCTGTGATAAAGCATCCTCTTTGTTATTCTTTTGGACCCTTTTCTTCAATTGCTACATTTGATGGCTAATGGAAATTTTCTCATCCTATAATCACCTGGTGATTTTGAGAACAGCAAAGACCCTTTTTGTAACATAAAGTTTAATTTCTGAGAGGACTAAGTACTTTCATTTGACTGCACTTTTAACAAAATCCTGAAATTGGAGCATTTTGAACTGTTCAAAGGAGCTTTGTTCTACAAAATAATATCTGTTATTAGGTTTTTTTTTTTTTAAGATTTTATTTATTTGCGAGAGAGAGAATGAGAGACAGAGAGCATGAGAGGGAGGAGGGTCAGAGGGAGAAGCAGACTCCCTGCTGAGCAGGGA